GCCTCGTCTCCTCCGGCTCGCTGCTGTCCTCCTCGTCCGAGGAGCCTGAGCTGCTGCTCCCGTACGCTGCGAAGTAGCTCAGGGGGTCCTTCTCCTCGGCTGCCATGACGGCGACGCGCGGCGACCGAGGCTTCCGGAAGCCGGAAGCAGTCACAGGCCCCGCCCCCGGTCTCGCAGGTAATTTCGGGGAGGGGTGCGCCCCCTGGCGGCCATGCCGCGCTATTGCTCCAGGACGGGCTGAAGAGGCCGCGCATGCTCCCCAGCAGGGGCTTACTTGGCTCATTCCTGTCTGAGGTTCACCGAGAAGAAACAGGCCCTCGGTCAGTGGTCCCAGCCAAACTTTCAGCACTCAGTAAGTACTTATTGAAGGCACAGAAGAGCTAAGAATTTTGTCATTTCACTGCCATCTCCCTTTAGGTCTTGCCTAGAGAAAACCAGTATTTTTTTCTGATCCTGCTGCATCTTCTCTTCAAAAGAGAACAAGAAGAGATTGAAAACTATGAACAATAAAATGGCAACAAATACATATCTACCAACAATTGAATCTAAAAATCAAAATATACGAACAAGAAATCTAATGAACAGAATAAACTGGTGAACAAAACAGAATCAGAGGCATGGGAACATGGAACAGACTGAGGAATCTCAGAGGCAAGGGGGGTGGGAAGGGATTAACCAAAGATCTTACCTATCGACACAGACAATGTGGTGAAGGCCTGGGGCGGGGTGGGAGCCGGGTGCAGGGGGGTCATGGAGAGTGGGTAAAAGGGGGACATCTGTAATACTATCAACATAAAGACTTTTTAAAAAAGAGAAACGAATCACTGTGTGCTTCCCTCCGTCACCATGGAAGTCACACACCGAGTCTCTCCTGGTTGACCCCATTCCAGTGCACTCTGAACAGCCTCTCTGATGAAACTCCTTCTGGATTGCACCCCCCCATACCAGGGTCCCCCAAACTCTCTGGTTTCTCTGGTCATCCTGCTTCTTCCATTCCTGCATCACTCTGTATGGCCCTTAAAGGTTGGTGTTTCCTAACATACAGGTGTCCAAAAACAAGTATACACACATTCACAGCTGATAGCTCCATGTTGAAAATGAAATGTATTTTAATAAAAACTGTATAATTATTCAATGTGTGTGCATACATTTTTGGGGAGCACCCTATCTTATACCACATTTCAGCAATATTAATATTTTTCTACTGCCCATCCCTTTTTATGGCATTAACTACCTTGTGCTTATGACTCCCAAATCTGGGCCTCTGACCCCAATCTTACCCTCCAAGCTCTGGACCAAACCTCTACCTGCCTCTTAAACTTGCCATATGGATTTCCTGCTGGCAACTCAAACACCCACTTAAGGGACAAGTAACTTGTCTTTCCATATAACTTTCTTTTGCATTTGTGTTTCCTCTCAGTAAATGACATAATCATGTGCCTAATCACCAGGAAAACTAAAAATCCTTGCCCTGGCTGGTGTGGTTCAGTTATTTGGGCATTGTCCTGGGCACCAAGAGGTTGCTGGTTCAATTCCCAGCCAGGGCACATGCCCTGATCCCCAATAATGGGCATGCATGACCGATGTTGC